TAGGAACTACACAAATCTTGTCCTACGCAAAATAGTGTCGTCTTAAATTGAAATAGAGCCATCTTAAGACTAGTCCGTAATCGAGGCGGAGGAGAAAAAAAAAAAGTTGTCCATTCCTGGGTTTTAGGCGCAAAAGAGATTGTCCCGACGTTTTCTCCCCAAACTCCCGTCATTACTCCGTACCGATGTTACCCCTAGACAAACATAAAATTCGTTTTTTGAAGTGTCTGTACAAAAACATATCCATACCGAGGAGTTATATTACAAAGGTTATATCGGGTTACTATCCAGGTGAAAATTTATCAATTATATACTTTATCATTTTTCCTTTCTGTAATAGGGACGCTAGACAGGGGTTACACGGGACAATTTCAATTCTATTTCTTTATGAAAATACTAGGGTTTAAACCCCTTTACAAAACACAACGTCGTCGTTTTCTATGTACTCTCCTCGACGGTCTTATCTTGTAGGTTCTCATCTTTTAGGTTCTATCTTTTAGGTTCTATTCTTTTAGGTTCTCATCTTTTTAGGTCTCTCATCTTTTAGGGTCTACAATACAGACGTTTAAACCTGTTTTTTGCGACAGTATGGAGCTCAAATGCTTTTTCTCTTTTTGTATTTCCTGCTTTTTAAACACATGTGCTCTCCAGTACAGGTTAGCTCTGAGTGTTAGCGAGGCTAATGTAAACAAAGACGAGATTACGTCCAAAACACTTCAGGCATTGTTTCTGATAGCAACTTTCTGTGGGTCCGCCGCCGATTTGAAGTCAGATCGGATGGAATCTGTATCCACTCGTTGTACCCCCCGTTTTTAAAAGATTTGGGTACGGAGGAAAAGAGAGAGGGTTTTATTTTCTGACGCAGCGTGAGTTCCCCGACGCACCGGGGACACGTATTTATGTATAAAAGACATCAAAAAGTGCATTTCGAGTGATAGGTCCCCTTTAATGTATATTTATTTTACATTTTGTTTTTTTATTGCATATTCTGAATTAAATGTTTTAGGAATGAATACATATTTGAATTTAGATATTTTGCTGCACATTCTTCACAACCTTCTTCATATACATATGTTATCTCTATTTATGATTATATTATATATATTTTTATTTCATTTCCTTCTAAATTAGAGCAACTAAACCACATTTTTCCCTCGATAAATACATAGTGATTCTGATTCTTCTCTTGTTTTGACCAGCAAATGTCCAATTAAACCTGCTTTTCATTTAGACTTAATGATCAATCATGACGTCACCAATCAAACCAAACAGGAACCTTATGACCTCCATTTTACTTCTTCCATGAACCATATTTTGTGTTTCTGAAACCCTGAATGATGACTTCTATACGCAATGTTTTCCCCAGAGTGAATTTAAAGCATTTTGGAGCCATCAAATACAGATTCCTATGAAATACAGCGCTGCGATGACGCACCTGTGAACAGCCTGACACCGCTCTGATCAAAAGAGCCAACTTTTTGAAAGTGCATAATCAAATAAAAGGAATTATTCATACAAAATGACACCCGGGCTCGACATCTCCCCGATCTGAATGCAGCTTTTTGAATTTCCAAATGAAGTGTTGTCATTTTTTCTCTGCTGCTTGTCCATGTGTGTGTGTGTGTGTGTGTGTGTGTGTGTGTGTGTGTGTGTGTGTGTGTGTGTGTGTGTGTGTGTGTGTGTGTGTGTGTGTGTTCTCGGCTTTCTTTTTTTAATCACCACATTGGTCTTTCTCTGTGTAAACACAACATATATCCTCCTGCTCGGCGCCTGTGGATTATGAGGTTGCCATGGAAACGGCGGGATGCACTCAGGCTTGCTTCCTCCATGCAGCTGGGACCCATGCGGCGCTGATGCGACCTCAGGGGGAATTCTGGGAGAAAGTGAAGTGCAGGGTCAGGGGGTGGGGGGTGCAAAACTGGGAATTAATTGTGTTGAATCAACTCTCAAGACACAGGGAGAAGATGCATGTTCGAAAATGTGTTTTGGGTGGGGGGTGCAAAACTGGGAGGATGAATGTTCGAAAATGTGTTTTGTTTATTCGTTTTTTAACAGTATTCAATTAAAAATATTCACAAACAGTTACTGTAGCACAATCATGAGATGGAGTGAACATATATGAACAGCTACAACCCTGGGGTAATGACAAAGACTAGACACAAAACAGAAGTATTTACAATATATGTTCTTATTACACGGCTTAGGACAGGAAGTACACAATAAAGGGAACAGCAGAAGAAGACATACAGGAAGTTAATATTTAAAGGGAAAAGTAGAAGAAGGCAGACAGGAAGTAAACATTAAAGGGAACATGGTATGGGCTCTGGTTAAAGACCTAACTCAATACTCTAAAAACTAAACGGGTGCGTTCACACCTGCCTTGTATAGTCCGGTTGAATCGAACCCTGGTGCGTTTAGCCGCTTGGTTTGGTTCATTTGGGTCGGTGTGAACACAGTCCGAGACCTCTGAAGTGAACTAAACAACCGGACTCTGGTCCGCTAAAATAGGTGGTCTCGGAGTGCTTACTTGCGAACTCTGGAGCGGTTCATTGCTGGTGTGAACGCAGTCCGCACCAAAACATAGGAAGCGTAGTATTTACGTATCACAAGAATGCGGATGTCTTCAAAATCTTTGGCGAATGAGTGAAGCAGAATGAAGTGTTGAACAGTGTCGTGTAAAAATGCTCCGTCAACTATACATAAAAGTCAGAGCCACCTGTCGTCGGTGAAACGCCCCTCCTTACTGCAGAACGTCTCTCATTATGTGTTATAATGTTTTTTAACGGACGTTCTCTGATTATATAATCATATGTGCGGGCCACTAGAGTATGTTGATCTCCAGATTAACAGCAGCATGGAAATAACCTGCCGATGCGCCATGGTGGAGGCTCCGGTAGAAATTGCCGGAATTTGTGTTTTTACCCCCTTAATGTCTGACCAATGGGTGAATAGCGTTTCCGTGCACATGACTTGTGTTTAAAGTGTATAGTCCGTTTGAGTTTTGCCCGTGTGAACGCAAACCGAACCTTCTGAAAAACAAAACAATGTAACAAACTGTGGTCAGGTGCGCACCTGAAAACGGACTATTGGGTGTGAATGTGACCTTACCTCACATGGTCCCTAAACATTAATTTCGTCATTTCAAACATTAGTTTTCAATGGGTAAAGTATAATAAACAGTGAAACATGACAGGGCAAAATGATGGTTCAAATGAAATGCATTTCAGAGTAGAGGAATATTGCAATGATGGAAAATCACAGTTGTGATCGATGGAATCTGTTTACAAAGGAATAAGAGAAGTGGCTAGTCAAAACAAAACAAAAAACCCACATTATTCATAAAACAATCTGCTGGAAATGAAGTAAATTGAAGTGTCAATGGAGAAAATGAGTTTGGGAAAGTGTGTGGAAGCAAGTGGGAGGATGTGTGTGTTTGTGTGTTCAAAGACATATAAGGATGGAAGGAGAGAGAATTTATGCGTCAAGTTACTGAGGAAGAGCTTCTAAAACCTGTCAAGAAAACAGGAAATCAAAAATACTTTCCTGCAACGTTCAGGGAACCGTTTGCATGTTTGTTATTTTATTTTTTCCCTGCAGTTTTATCACCAAACGCAGCTCAGTAAACCACACTTTGCACATCGGTGGCAGAAATATTCCTCCAATATGAGGAGTCTCATATTAGATGGAATATTTCTGCTCCTAAAAAACTGTTTTATGAGGATATGCGAATTGTTCGTATGAACCTCGGAAAATAAACTCGAATTTCTGTCATCTAAATATGAAGAGTGTAAATGGACCTGGCAGCATTTTAATGTCTTATGATCTGTGACGGATATGAACATTTCTAATCAAACACATAAAACTTTAAAGGGTTTTATTTGTTCTCAGTGACCAATTAGGTACCTAGCTGGAACTAATGTGTTGTAATTAAAAAACAGCGTCGCAATAAATGCTTCTTTTACGAGGTTTGTATTATGTGTTTGTTGAAAATACGATGTACTTTAGGGTGTTCGAAGTGCATGCTGTGAGGCAGTCTTTATATTGGTAACACTTCCATCCCTCAAAAATATTGCTGTGTAAACATTCAAATTGTTGTATATAATATAAACTATACTTTTAATTGTTTACTTTTATAAATACATATTTTTTTCTAGTTTCCCTTTTGTACCAAGAGGAAATTATGTATTGTATTTCCGTTATTTCAAAAGATTTAATGAGTTTTTGTTATCAAGTTTTTGTTGGCCTTTAGTAGCGTCTTAATGACCTGAATGCTTAAAGTGTAAATATGCAATTAAACCTTCTTACCCCTCGATTCCACCGGGTCCGTCTGCGTCGGGTCACGGCTGCGCCACGGTTTTGGTCCGGCCTCCTCCGGCGTCATACCCTACCGGGCGCGTTTCAGAAGCATTTCAGAAGCGGAGCGTCTTGCCTGCCGGCTCGCAGTTTTTGTTGATTTGGGCATATTTCCTGGACAGGATACTTTGAAAAAATGCATTCATCATCAGAATTATTCTATATATTGTAGTGATCACTGGTTGACATAATTCACCACGGAACTGTGGGGTAGGGGTATTGTTTCCGCACGGACACATATGTGGTTACCAATATATATTGTGTGCCCTCCTGGTTTCTTTCTCTTGTCTTCCCGGGCTGCGACCCGACAACATCTGCATTTCTGCTGCTCATTAAAGCCAGCTTTGTACCTCCATTGCACCGCCTCCGACTCTCGGCACTACATTGGTGACCCTGACACAGTCTCGCAAAGTTTCCGAGACTGTACCGAACGTGGGAAAAAATAAACTCAGTTTTTCTCGGAATGCCGGGGATTTTTGGAGATGTCCGTGGCTGCCACCGGCACGCGGCCTGAGGCTCGGTGCGCCCCCCACGGAATGGCTGAGGACGTCGCTCGCCATTCCCACATCGTCTCGGCACTGGAAGACAGCAGGCCTTCCGACTACAACATAGTCTCCGTGACATACATTTAATATATAACCAACTAACAGGCCTCCTCTAATCCACCCATCAGCCACACATCCGCCCAACGTCTAACACCATCACCAATAGCTACACACACACTTACGCCGAACATATACTCGTCACACACACAAGTCTTCTCAACACGTCTACAAAAGCCCACCACAGCGTCGGGGCGTTCTCATTTCTTATTTTCGTACCCTCACGTAGTGCTACTCATCACACACAATTACAACACTCACAATCACAAACACCACAAACCCCACACAGTCATCCAATATGGTCGTCATCATAAAAATACAGCACACCACACACCACACACACACACACGCACACACCACAACCAACACATACACAACACACCGACACACACACCCACCACACACACGACACACACACACACACACACACCGCACCCTATTCGATCTCATGCGCAGCGCATGGCACCAGGTCCAAGGACACCCACCTTAATACCAAGGTCTAAGGCTCACTCAAGCTATCATAGTCGTAACACACATCGGGGACAGGCAAGCTTAAAGTTAAGGTCAACCCTCGTGTTAGAGCAGAGCACACACAAGACACACGCCAGTCACTCCTTCACTGGTGATCCCAAGGCAACGCTCCACTACTCACACGCCCTGGCACACCACACACACTACACACACACACAACCCGCTCCGCATCCGGCCTTCACCCCCGGCACGCTACCTTCTCACCAGACAAACTCCTTGGGTCTAACATATCAACACCCCTCTCCCGTAGCGGGCTGCATCACTACCCCGCAGCGAGCACAACACCGCCACTAACACCCAGCAACTCCGCACTTGCTTCCAATTAGTCGTACTGGCGCACGACCACACGATCACAGCTCACACTACATCCTCTATCACAACACACACCGACCCACGCGAAACATCCATCCACAGGTGTCTGAACACCAACTCCGCACCACCGCCACCAATAACACGCACACAACGAGCCACACCTAGGTGATGGTCCGCTTCCGCGGCCTAGCATGGGTACCTCGGTTTCGCAGCGCCAGTCTCTCCTTCGTGGTCTCACCGCTCTTCCGCCCGGCGGTCAGCTCCCGGCCTTCCCAACAGGGTCCTCTAGCATCCCCTGGTTGTCACTCCCCCGCGTAGGGGTGCACGGCCGCGGTCCGCCATCTCGCCACTCCTTCTTGTGTGGGCGCTCACCTGCTTTCGACCCAGCAGCTCCTTTCTCACCCCTGGACTCATTGCCTCCAGTCTCCTCCGCGACGGAGCTCATCGGGCCACCAGGGTCGCCTCCTCGCGACGCCTGCGGCAGCTACTCTTCGCCGCCGTCACGCGAGGCTGTCTCCTTTCCGGTCATGGGTCCCCTCAGACTTGCCCGCGACACACGCCCGCCCACACTTCTTCGCGCTTCGCACACTCTCGCGCACGGTGGGTCCGCGGCTACTATCGCACCCCCGCTGTAGGAGATTCGGCGGCAGCTCCACCACTATTTACGCTCTCCTCCCAAGTGCGTGCTCCAGGCTGGTCTGTAACTAGCTTGGAGGAAGCGAGTCTACGTTTGTCCCCTTTTCGTATCGGTTTTCCCAGCAATGACTGGGTGCCAGTTTTTTGTCCAACCACCTTTAAACACTCTAACAGGTGGTGCTCCAGTTGTGGCCGAGACCAGCTTGGAGGAGAGTCCGTGGTGTTTTTTCCCCAAATTGTCTGCCTACAGTTGGCTACCTACAGCTATCGCGTAATCGTCGATCGGCAATCGACAACGGCAATCGGCGATCGACCGTCGGCAACCATCGACGATCGGCAACGGATCGATAGCACCAATTCGACGATCAAAACAATCGATCGCGTCGGACCTGGACGAACGTCGGCGTGCAGCAGGGCTTCTTTGTCGGGTACTCCATCTCAAGCCCAAGGAGGTGGTATGCATCGTCCAGCACATANCCAGCTTTGTACCTCCATTGCACCGCCTCCGACTCCCTATCTCTCGGCACTACAATATATAATTTACACAGTGCCTGTAAACCGGAGGAGAATGCTGGCATTTCTCCTCCTACTTTAAAGACTACGGAGGGATAGGGTCTACAAAATTAGTTTATTTTGGGGATGGGCCGGATGCTCGGACCGTTCCACTTCCTGCCCGGCGCTATGCAACGCGTCGCGTCGAAAATAGACGTGCATCCTATTTTGAGCGGAGCCCAGTGCCGAGACGCTTCTGGGACGCTTCTGAGCCGTAAGGCGGCGCGTCTGGTGGAATAGCACCCATTGACTAGACTGGCTGCGATCTATGCGAACGCCGGCCCGCGACGCAGCCGTAACGCGGCCGTAACACGACGCAGACGGACCCGGTGGAATCTAGGGGTTAGAATTGCTATCAAAGATTGAAATGGACAGTTACACAATTTTCTAGCTATTTAGATGAAAACATCCACTGAATACAGGACATTTTGTGTGTTACATATCCTGAGAATAAATAAAAGAGCCTTTAAAGGACACCTCTAACAGGAAACCAACTTCAAACACCTTAAAATAAATATGAATTCTGGACCAAAAGGTTCACTTCTCGTCTCCTAACTGCAGTCAACTATGTTTTATTAAACTATGATTCTACTTCCCTTGACCTTACCCATGTTTCTACTGAATTCACTAATTAGGACCAAAGCTATGCAGTGGATGAAGACAATTAAAGAGCAGCTAAAAGTTAAAGATAGCGGCTTGTGTTTGAAGTTTTTATGGAAAACAAATGTGAAACTGAAAACAATATGGAGCACATTAAAAAAAGGGCATAGCAAGTCATGATGTGATCAAGATCAAACCAAAATGTATTGTAAAAGTGAGGTAGCACATAAACAAGGACATGAGATTCACTAAAGTCGTAATAGTCGCATTGTATTTCATGTTGGGAAGAAACCAAGTCAAGCTATTCTCCGTCAGAAGTGAAACACAATAAGTACAAACGAGTAAAAGTCAAAACTGTTAGCCCAAGTTTACTTTTATCACATAACAAATTGTGTATAAAGATATGTTAGCCTCAGAAAACTATCGTTAGCATAATGGCTTCAGTTATTAATAAAGAGAGCAGAACAGAAACGAATTGTCCAATCAATAAACATTCAAAGTGTATTGCACGTAGATTTCTGATGGAAGAAAGCTGATGTTTTGACCCAAGCTGACGTTACATTTACTCGACTACTTTCTGTTGCACACATGGACACAAAATGGATTTCCAGGCGTGCATAAGTTAAAAACATAACACTCTTTACTTCGGTTCTCCAACACACATGAGCACAAGCACTTTACATCACGAGACTGCACACACTCTTTTCGTCCAATCAGCGACCCCCTCACCATCGCGCGCTTCACCTGATGGACCCCCGGAGCTGCCCCGCCCCCGTGCCTGTGTAAACTTCACTAATTTTCGCATTTAAATGTACCTACTTAACCCTCAAATTCGCATTGCACAATAATACCTCAAATAAACATAGGTTAATTAAATACAAGAACAGATAACATAAATAAAGTGCTTTACAGTGATATACAGTTTCACGTGTCATCACCAAGACCACTACGGGTCCCACATTTCAATGGATGGATAAGACTTTACATAGTCCCTTAATCAGAGTGTCGTCCTTTGAACATGATGCAACACAATCTTTTTGTTGTTGTTATTTTAATCCAATACATAGGCAGGCCACCTGAAAATAAATCAAATAGTTTAAATCAATTATTTTAACTCACAGGAAAAATCCAATTTTAAATATAATTGCTGCAGGTGCCATATGGAGTGATGTGTTTTGAGCTTGAGCCTCATGGCAATCCTTTACTGCTGCAGGAATCCCTTCCTTTACTCTTTCCAACGTTCTTCTTTCACAGCATGTGCTGCAACTTCAACTGTGTTCTTATAACAAAAAGAAAACCTTGTCGTGAAGTACATCTTAATGAGTAAAAGGATGGATATTTGCTTACTGACGCAGAGGCTGATCATAGCTATTGTGGGCAAAATTAGACTCTTTTAATTAAGAGAGAAATAACACTGGCAGCAAAGGCACTCCTCCGCAGCCCGTATGATATGAATCTTACTACTATTAAAATCAACTTCCCAGCTTGAGGAGTGTATCGTTAGTCCCAGAGTTTCACACACTTGTCAGTCATCCTGGTGAGCTGTCATCCTGCCCGAGGCTGAGGTATCCACGGAGCCTCCAGAGGAAGCAGAAAGCCAACCCTGACGATCTGCCATAACAGAAGAAAACACTGATGTTTACCGTTTCTGAACATTTAACATAACCGGCCTTTTATGTGCTGCTTCCACGATACCCAACCCGCTGTCTGCAGGTCACAGGAAGTGGTAAACAAAACATCTCTGCTATCACCGAGGTGCCAATAAATGGGGAGAAAATGGATTTAGGCATCAACAGAAAAAAGGCTGAGTGATGATTTATAGGATTGTCCGTTCATTTAATAGCCTTTTATATGGAAAACTTTGAGAAAATGGAGCTTGAGCTCTACAAAATCTATAATGTCATTTTGGAAAATGTCACCAACATATATGAAAGCAGCGCGTCCGTTAACCGGCGGAGGAGCGGGTATCGATCCTAACAGGTAACTAAATCTACCTGTCAAAATACCGCCTTGAGCTCAGCGCTAATATATCTGAGCGAGCAGATATATAGCAACCGCTACGAGCTAGCGAAGGCGGGGGTTGCCGGGGGTAACAAGCCTGTTGTTTAGCCGACGTGTCACATGAATCAGGCCAATTGTATGATGGCCTTTTCGGCAGCGACGGACTCGTAAACACAAGGTCAGCCGCAACAGTGGATGGAGACATAAATGGGTCATATATATTTTAACGAGGCCTCGGGGGTCAAAGCAAACATGACCTTGAGCGCCACCTCATTGCACCTTCCCCCCCCCAAACCAACCCAAACTCCCGGAGGACTCATTCTCCCAGACTTCTTTATTGCTGGTTCCTATGGCAACAGTCTGCTCAGCGGCGCATTGGTAACTCTTAATAGTTAATAGCCAGCTTGCTCTTATGGAAATATTGCTCGTATTTCCACATGTATATTTTCCACATGTATATATATTTTTTACTTCTGAAATATATTGGACTGTTTATTTCTGTGTCTTAGATTCTTGCATGTCCCAAATTGGGTTCAATAAAGTACTAATCTCTCTCTCTCTCTCTCTCTCTATCTATCTACTTACATACTTACTTACCTACTTACCTACCTACCTACCTACCTACCTACCTACCTACCTACCTACCTACCTACCTACCTATCTATAAAAAAAAGAAAACAATTTGATTAGATGTATTTCCAATAATAAATAATAAATAATCGACTTAATTACACATCCGTAAAGGGGTGGGAACAAGTTAACACTTATTTAATCGCACCCCTTCTCCCAAAAAATAAATTATTAACATATATTATATTTTCTTTACATACACCTTGTATTTTTCTTTTTTCTTTTAACCAGGAACACTTAACTAACATATTGTGTAACCTGACCTTCCTCTTTCTGTATACTGTAGCATGTGAGCTATGTACCATGTACGTTCATAAATAAAAACTTTAAGTACAAAAGCTCCTTTCATGATGGTTTTTTATCGCGACTGGAGCGCCCCCTCCTTTAAGAAAATATTGCCATATATACCAATTTCCACCCCTCGCCCATTGGGGTTAGAGAAAGAGAAAGAAAGATAATAATTGGCTCCAGTTTACCGTTGACTGCATTGTGTGCATCCCCACATTTGATCTATTCTTTGGTGGCAAGCAGCGAAAGCCCAAAGAGGCTCCTTTTAAACCGAGAGCCGGTGAGATCATCCATGAAACATCCTCCGAAGGCTCGGGGAGAAACAGCTTCATCAAGGTGTGGGAGGAAAGAGAGAGAGGGAAACTGAGGTTTTTTTTGTTTCTATATTGCAACATAAACATTCAGATGGTTTGAATCTAGAAAGAGATAATCAGTTTTTGTGGTGATTATACCCTCATTTGAATACACGGCTTTGTTGAATAGTCCATAGGGCCTACTACGATACGATATACTTTATTGTCCCTGTAAGGACATTTGTCATTTTGTCCTGCAGTTCCGCATACATGTACATAATATACAAACATATTGGACATTAAGAGACATACACATATCATCAGTCATACACCGTTTGAACAAACACAATACACAGACGCACATACTGACAATGGCGAGCTATTGCACAACCCTCATGGCCAACATTTAAAAAGTACATTTCATTACATTTGACTACATTTCATTTCATGTGAATGTTAAGAAGCTTAATGGACATAGGTAGGAATGAGTGCTTATAGCGGTTCAGCCTGCTCTTGGGAACCCTGAATCTTCTACCAGAAGGTAGGAGTTGGAATCCTGGGTGGAGTTTGTGGGTGGGATCAGACACCATTTGTTTTTCCTGTCTGATAATGCAGGGGTTCCCGAGTGGGGGTCGCGAGATGATTACAAAATCAAAAATAGTTTTGCTTTATTGGGGGGGTCTGGGGGGGTCCGAAAACCCTAGGGTCAAACCCTAACCCTAACCCTAACCCTAACATGTCACCCATTGAGCATGTTTGGGATTACTCTGGATCTGCGTATACGACAGCGTGTTCCAGTTCCTGCCAANAGGGGGTCGCCAGTCTCTGGCACTGTTATTTTGGAGGTCG